AAACTGCTTTTGACGATACTTTTTCAATTATTCAATGCTTTAAAAAAATTTTGGCCGCAGCTCTCATTTTATAGATGATAAACTTTGAACGAATATTACTCGACACTTACCTGACCAATTTCGATCAAAATTTTTTTATTTTAATTCTATAACACTTTATGTCACTTTTTCAACTCATATTCCATTGAGATAACAATAACCAATACTATATGGGCTGCCGTTAATATAAAATCAAGCAGATTGACATTAAAATTCATCCCTTAACTTCCATAACTTATATCTCGATAAATTTTGAGGTTATCTTGATGAATTAATATTCAAAAGAAAGCTTAAGATCTAGAATTTCCTTTGAATATTAATTCATCAAGGTAGTTTCAAAATTTATCGAAATGTAAGCTGTGAAAGTTAAGGGATTAATTTTTTTTAAAAATGTCGATCTGCTTGATTTCTATTGATGGTGCTCATTTGGTTTGATACTGTTCAGCTCCAAGCATAATACACACTCTTTAAATGCATTATTTTGTCTAATCATCCATGTGATCTCGATAAGATGCATTTAGATTCAACGACACATAGTAAATGCTTGCCATTCAGTAAGTTCATTCTTGATTCACTTTATTTATCGATATTGCATTAATATTTTAAAGATGGTCAAACATTATTTATCAAGAAAGTTACTTTAAACAATTGGCAATAGCGCAGTAAATGGCCCCACCATTTACTGTTCAAATCCGTGTTATACGGATTACACAAGATCAAATCCGTATTTGAACAATTCAATCGACCATTAGTTTATCCACTGTACTTTCACATATTTTTAATGGATTTAAAAGCTTAAACAGTTTGAACAGTTTGAATAGATTGAATCAAATATAAAAAATTTTAGTGAAAATTAAGCGTATTTTAGCCTCTTACATAAAAGTTCAGAAGCTTAAATTAATAACTATTACAACATAACGATAAAGAAATGTTTGAGTGCACTAAATTAGTACAACAAAAGCAATCAACAAAGCTTAACTAACTTAGATTTAAACAACTATAAATAAACATAAAAATTTTACTTTTTTTTTATTAAAAAAAATAGCGATGAATCAAAATGCTGAAGAACTTTATCAACTTGGGCAAAAATATATAGAGGGTCATTATATTGGAATAGATAGAAAAAAGCCTTTGAATATTTTAGAAAGGCAGCTGATTTGGATCATTTATGTGCTTTAGGTGAATGTTATCGTTTTGGAATTGGAGTTGAAAAAGATGAACAAATGACATTCGAATACTATCAAAAAGCTGCTGATATGAGTGATATTACAGGAGAATATAATATTTGAAATGTTATCAAGATGGAATTGGAGTCAAATATGAACAAAAAGCATTCGAATATTATCAAAAATCTGCTAAAATGGGTGATGTTCATGGAATATGGGTTGTTGGAGTTTGTTATCGAATTGGATTTGGAGTTGTAGAGGATGAACAAAAAGCATTTGAATATTATCAAAAAGCTGCAAACATGGATGATGCTAGTGGAACAAATGATGTTAGATATTGTTGTCAACTTGGAATTGGAGCTGAAAAGAATGAAGAATAAGCATTCGAATATTATAAAAAATCGCAGAAATGGGATATATTGTTGGAACATGTAATGTTGGATATTTTTATGAAAATGGAATTGGAGTTGAAAAAGATGATCATATGTCATTCGGATACTGTACTATAAAAAATCAGCAGAGATGGGATATCCTGATGGGATGTATTATGTTGGTGAATATTACCGAAAAGGAGTTGTTGTTGAAAAGGATATAGATATTGCTTTCGAATGGTATTTAAAATCTGCTATCACTGAACGAGCTAATGTTACTACTAAAAAAGAAGAGTTTTTTCATTGGATGGCATATGATAAATTTGAAAATATCGAAGAAATAGATAAAAGAGCATTTTCTACTGTTTTTAAAAACAAAATATTTAAATCAATATGGGTCATATGAAGAAGTAGCAATCAAGATCGTAAAAGATTCTAATAATAAAGTTGCATTCTTAAAAGAGGTATTTTTTAATATCCATTTTCATTTATTATAAAACGCACCTATGGTGGTTTTGCATCTATCATATGTTTTATTATGTTTTTTAGATTGCTATAAAAATCTTCAACACAAAATTTTTATGTTAGTATTAGTATTTGGAGTTCGGGCTAAGGTTTGAGAAGGGGTTTTTAGGGGCGGGGCGTAGAGCACTTTTACTTAGAACATCTTGCATTGATTATTTAGCCAGTTTTTGGGATAATATATACATGGGTGTAAAACACCATACACTTTACCCTCGATATAACGGACCCTTCGGGCTGAAAGATTTTGTCCATTATATCCGTAATAAATGAATATCCGTTATAATGTTATAAAGTATAATATAATAATAATAATTTTAGAAAATTACTCCGGTATCCGTTATATCGGGTCCGTTATGACAAGGGTAGAGTGTAGGTGCGTTTTATAAAAGTCTATTTTTTTATGAAAAAATAATTTAAATGATATAATTTATCCTATAATACTTAAAAAAATGTTTAACAAAAAACAAAAAAAAAACCCAAATATTCGTTAAATATTATTTGGAACTTCTATAGCAACAGATTTACTAAGATTTAGCTTTGATAATCTTTCACTAATTTCTAAAGTGTTAAATGGTTTGCTAGTGTATATATTTAGCTCTTCTTTAATTATTGTTAATCTTATCACTTTCTAAAAACTGCTTTTTAATTTCATTTTCGGAATTTCATTCAAAATTACTAACCATTCATTTAATTTGTAAAAATTTCATTAGTAGCTGGCCGTTTTTCTAGATTTGAATCCATGCATCGATTTGCTAAATGGCAACTCACTTTATTAATTTAGGACGTTCTCAAGCACCCACCTCAATGAATTCAATAACAAAAATCTGATTGACCAGTTTGATTAAACAGACCAATTAGATTAGTTATTGAGTCTATTAAGGTATGTGCTTGAGAACGCCTAATTCAACATAATAATTAGGAGTTCCAATTCCAAATTTTGGTTGCAATCCTTTACAAATCATAATCACAAGATCTATATCAAATTTATGACTATCAAAAGGTCTCTGTCCAGTTGTCATTTCTACCATTATAATTCCAAATGAATAAATATCTGTTGCTTGAGTGTACGGTTTTCCTTGAAAAAGTTCAGGGGCGATGTAAGGCAAGACACCATGAATATGATCTTCATGCTCTTTCTCATCAAGTGGTTTGATAATCCTAGATCGGTAATATATGATTTGTAATTTTCTTTTAATAAGATATTTCCCGGATGTAAATCTCGATGTAAATATCGTTTATAATAAATATGATCTAGATTAGATATAATATCATGAAGTCTCTTTAATTTAATTTTCCATTCAAACCTAAAGATATCAGCAAGATTTTTGCTTAATGATCCATATTTTGCGTAACTCGTTACTAAAATAAAATCATCCATTTTTTCGTCTCTTGATATTCTTAAATATTGTTCTAAGCTATGACAAGCTTTTAACTAAAAAAACAAAATCAATTATTATATTTAAATTATTTTAAATTATTTAAATAAAAATAAATAAATATATTTGTAAAATCTAAAATTAATAATTATTTAATACAAAGATTAACCTATGACATAAATTATCAGCCGGGCACTTTTTACTTAATGAGCGACTATGGTTACATTAGTAAAATTTTTAGTAATCTTGGGCAAAATTGATTAATTCCGGCCAAGACATACGGTATATGGCTAGTCTGTGTTGGATATTGATGCCGTAATCTAGAGACATAAATTTATGTGATTTGATTCCTACTTTTATATTTAATAATATTCTTCAAAACAATCGGCAAAATTTAAATACTGAATTATTAAGTATTTTAACTAAACAAAAGATGAACTTATAAAATTTTTCTAAATCTAAATCAAAATTTATTAATTTAAATCAAAATTTATTAAATTTAAACTAAAATTTGCTTTTGTTGTTGTTATCAGAAAACATTAAAACTAAAATTTTACAGGTCTCTGGTATTTGGTGATCAATTGCCCGGTGGACAACCTGGATGTCGAAGATAATTACTTTAATAGCCCGGGTGGATAACCCGGATATCAAAGATAGGTACTTTGATAGCCCGACCGAACAGCTCGGATATCAAAGGAAAAAGAGGAAGTAAAAATAGGATGAATTGATGGTATTAGGAACCAGCTATAGACCACATGAGCAGTGGTTTTCTGTGGTAAGAAAAAGTTGGGAAAGTGGTCGATAGCCTGGGTAAACAACCCGGATATCGGCTCTGATGTCTGGCCGATCAGCTCGAGTGTGTAAGAAATGAGGTAAAAATAGGTTAGTTAGACATGATGCTAGGAACCGACTGTAGACCACGTGAGCAGAGAGACGGAATCCCATATGTGTATTTATGGTTATCGTTATGTTTGTTCGAATTAGTAAACCCAAATCCGTATACCGATATGTGATACGGATTACACAAGATCAAAACCGTTGAGAGGACTGAAATCGGTCAGTCAATGCTTCGCAGCAATCGGGTCACCGACCGACAGAATCGTGAAACAAAACGCGAAAGAGATGTGTTAGATTTGGACGAGTGGTTAATAAAGGAATGTATGTAGTTGGTAGGGCATGTTTATGTGACTTAGGTACTTTATTATTTAGGTCAAACGGGAACTAACTATCTCTTCGAAGGGCCAGAAGGCCTTTATTTATAATTAGCTCACTATCTATTTTTACATACAGAATACGCCGTCTTCCCAGAATTATGCTTATTACTGTAATTATTGTAATTATTGTAATTCTCCTTATTCCCGTTTTTCGCCTAATTCTGAAAATTCACTGAATTTTCCTAATTCTCGTAATTCCGGGAATTCCTGGAATTCCGACGGTAAACCCAATTTGGAATGCCTGAGTCACAAGGCCACGTGCCTGCGGTCAGGTCACGTTTCCGGTCTCACATTTCTCCCTCGCTTGCTTTATACCTCCAGGTATAAAATTCGATGGCGTATGGGCGGAGGTTGGTAGGAGCTTCGTGGACTGGTCGTAAGTTTATTTTCTATTTCTTTCTTTTTGGCAATAGCTTTCCGCATGGATCGAAGATTCGAATTCGTAACCATCGTGTCGGACGGTTTCAGTCTGGTTTGAATGCCTCATGTTCGTTCGTTTCAATTCAAATTCCACCTTTATTGCAATGTTCGGGGTCTTCTGCTTCGTTGTTAAGGTTCGGTTCGGTAGGCCTTTCACAATCTTTGGACGCTTCTTGTTCATCTTTTTCGACTCGAATTTCGTCGGCTTGGAATTCTTCGGCTCTTTCCATCTCGTGGGCTTTTTGGCACTTATTGACATCGGATTTTCTTTCCCAAACCAATTCCAATCTGATCACAAGGGCCGAGTTCCAAGATTTCTTCATTCTTGTTTTCGGTTCCATTTTCATAGCAGCAATCAAGACTGATTGTTTCTTTATCGAGCTCCATATTGGCGGGATTTTGGTAGTAAGTGAATGCCTTGTTTTCGTCCTTTTCATAATCTTTATCTCGGTTAATTGGTGCTCCGCGGTCAATTTAGTTTCTTTCATTCGCAGTGCTTTGTCATTTCTTCTGCTTCTTGAAATTATTTCCCGTAACCACCCTCAAGAGGTGACCAGGACCACGAAGAACTCTGATATAACTCAGATCCAGATTTAAAATTTTAATATAACTTTATACACTTAATTTTAGTAAAAGCTTTATACAAAATTATCATATAAGTTTATAAATTATACAATTTTAGATCTGTGTTTATATAAAATCAAATTATTTTACTAATAAACATTGTAGAGAAGTGTCTTGCAATCAAAATGGCGGTTAAAACGTTAAAATCGGCCCAGTAGATCGCGAGATATAAGTATTTTTGTCTTCACGATTATATGTTTTCTTTATATAAATAAAGAAGAAAACATGTAATCGCGAAGACAAAAATACTCATATCTCGCGATCTACTGGACTGATTTTAACGTTTTAACCGCCATTTTGATCGCAAGACAAAGTTCTACGACTTTACTTAGAAGCTTAAAAGAAACTTACCAAGAAAATATTTAAAATCACAGTATTTTATGTAATTTTATTAATAAAATTATGGAAAATATTAAAATCCACAAAATTATACTAATTAAACCTACCTTAACGTTCTAAGTAAACTTGTTCTACACATAAATGTACACCATATCGGTATACGTTTAACTTATAATTTTAAATTTTAAGAAAAAAAGATGCTTAATTTTGAATTTTTGATCAAAAATTCCAAAATTAAGTATCTTTCTCTTAAACTTTAAAATTATGAGTTAAACGTATACTAATATGATGTACTTTTATCTGTAGAACAAGTTTACTTAGAACGTTAAGGTAGGTTTAATTAGTATAATTTTGTGGATTTTATAATATTTTCTACAATTTTATTAATAAAATTATGGAAACTATTAAAATCCACAAAATTATGCTAATTAAATCTACCTTTGTGCTCTAAATAAACTTGTTATACGCATAAAAATACATCATATCGGCATACGTTTACCTTATAATTTTAAATTTTAAGAGAAAAGATGCTTAATTTTAATTTTTGATCAAAATTTCAAAATTAAGCATCTTTTCTCTTAAAATTTAAAATTATAAGGTAAACGTATGCCGATATGATGTAATTTTATGCGTAGAACCAGTTTAATTAGAGCATAAAGGTAGATTTAATTAATATAATTTTGTGGATTTTAGTATTTTCCATAATTTTATTAATAAAATTATAAAACTATTGTGATTTTTAAATCTTTACTTAGTAAATCTCTTTTTAGCTTCTAATCAAAGTTGTAGAGTATTGTCTTGCGATCAAAATGGTGGTTAAACTGTTAAAATCAGCCTAGTAGATCACGAGATATAAGTATTTTAGTCTTTACGACTATATGCTTTCTTCTTTATTTATATAAAGAAGAAAACATATAATCACAAAGACAAAAATATTTATATCTCATGATCTACTGGCCTGATTTTAATGTTTTAACCACTAGCTTAATTGCAAGACACTTCTATATGACTTTACTTAAATATTGAAAAAGGTTTACTTAGTAAAGAAAAAAGGTTTGGTTAAAAAACTCCAAATTCGAAAATTTTAAAAACAAAAAAAAAAAATTTAGTTAACATATTTTTACTGTTTACTATGTTTTGTTACTGAACCTAAACTGAACATGAACCTGACTTAAAAGTTTAGTACTGAATCTGAACTGAACATGAACCTGACTTAAAAGTTCAATACTAAACCTAAACTAAACATAAACCTGACTTAAAAGTTCAATACTATTGAACTGAATCTAAACTTGACCAAAGTTTAGTTCAGTTCAGGTTTATAGAAACACTAGTAGAGGGTATAGTTATACTTGAACTAAGATTAACTGTTTAATTTAGATATTTGAAAAGTTGTATTATTTGAAATTAATAGTAAGTAGGGTTCTAAACTGGTTTGAAATTTAAGACCCGTGACCCATTAGATTAAGACTAACAACCAACTGGGTATCCAAATTAAAATTGGGTCATCCAGTTAAATTTGAATGACCCGAATACCCAATTAATTCAGGTGACCCGGATACCCAATTAATTCAGATAGCCCAGTTATCCGAAGTAATTAGGTGGCCCGGTTATCTGAAAACCCGATTACTCGTACTTCAAAGTTCTTTAGCATCTAGTAAAACTATAGTGACCAACGAAAATTTTTAACTATTTTTGCCAAAAGAATGTTGCGATTTGACTTGAAATTCATATTAATAATACTATATATTGAAATATCAATTTATTTATCAATGTGCAAAGTTATATTTAACTACATAAAAATCTGCCAATTCATATTTGATTACTTCAGTTCTTAACAGAAACATTTAATTAATGACCCAAAATTTAACTATATTTTGTAATTGACAGTTACAATTAAATGATAGCAACTCTATAAATTTCACTGTAATTCTAATTTTAAAAAAATTAAAGCACAAGAAAACAAAAAGATAAGTTGTAACATTATATACTACTATGTATCCATATTAGTTTTTTTTCCCTTCTGTGACATTCCTTATTTCAATTTAATTTTCCATTTTCACCTAAAAATAATTATAATACATATATAAAAATTTTAATTTAGTAAATTTGAAACAATTATCATCAATATATAAAATTTTTACATTATTTGTATATATGTACATATCTAATTGATAGAGCTTTGCCAGAAGTCTAGATGCTATACATATTTTTTTTTTAAATTCGGCAGTCTTGCCAATACCGTTTATTAGTACGCTAAGGTATTTGGTTACAAATGTCACATGTACAATTACAACACTCTAATGTATTACGAGATATTGGCTCACCCTGTTACTAACTTAGTACCTATATGCAACCTGCTATATAAGATTTTACCTCCTTAATAACCACTCTGCAACCAGACCAATTACTAAATCACCGAATGGTTCCCAAACCTATTTTTTTTTTTTTTTTAATATTAAGGTGACTACTTAGGCCCTTGGCACTTTATTAGTACAAGCGGTAGGCCAATATT